GTAGGGAAGATCCGAGGGCAAGAGGAAAGCTTGCTCACACCGCAAGGGTGGAGAGCTGCCTTCGGAGGTGCTAGTGCTTTCCAGGTCCACCCCGCTGCATCCTAAAGGCAATTCCCTGCAGAAAGATGTTCTGGAGGGTGGGGAGGGAGGTGAAGGCAAGTAGAAGAATAAGCCCCTGGGCTTGGCCGGGGGGTCCGTCCCCAGCAGAAGGGATCTCAGGAGATGCAGTTGGTCACCTGCGGCGGCAACGTCTTTTCAAGACTGGTCGCTTCTCCTGCTGATGCGAAGCCGCTGCCGACTTTTCTCCCTGAAACGCAGCTCCGTAGGGAAGATCCGAGGGCAAGAGGAAAGCTCGCTCGCACCGCAAGGGTGGAGAGCTGCCTTCGGAGGTGCTAGTGCTTTCCAGCTTTCCACCCCGCTGCATCCTAAAGGCAATTCCCTGCAGAAAGATTTCTGGAAGGGTGGGGAGGGAGGTGAAGGCAAGTAGAAGAATAAGCCCCTGGGCTTGGCCGGGGGGTCCGTCCCCAGCAGAAGGGATCTCAGGAGATGCAGTTGGTCACCTGCGGCGGCAACGTCTTTTCAAGACTGGTCGCTTCTCCTGCTGATGCGAAAGCTCCGAGCTCCTCCAGTGCCAGGGAGTTTCAGGGATCGGGTCCTGCCCTCTCTCCTTCAATGCTTTCTGAGCGGAGGGGGTTAATGTTCGAACCTCCCGTTGCATTGGCTCTGGTGCTCGTTCAGCTCTGCGACCCAGAGCCGGGTTCCCATAGCGCTGCCGTTAGGGGCAGCTCCCGAATTATCCGCCGGCGGCTGGAGCTGCAGAGTTCCTCCTGCAAACCACAGCCCCGGCGTGCAGGCAGATCCCTGCGTGCTGCCCCCGCGCAGCCGCCAGGCTCTGCCAAATCACCGCCACCCAGCAATTATCCCATCCTGGACAAGACCGCCCGTTTTAGCAAGCCACCGCTGGCTCTGGATGTTGTGACCTCGCTCCGTGCCTGGCCAAAGAGCACCTCGTTGTCGTTCCCTGTAGAAAGCCCAGGAGCAAGCACTCACTCTCGGCAATCACAGGTTCCAAGCTGTGGTTTTCCCTTGCCGGGCAAAGGACTTCTCTTGCATGAGGCCCTGGTGTAGCCTTGGAGGCAAGTTCTCTGCTGCTGGCAAATTGATGGCAGCCAAGCACCACCCGCTCCTCTGCGGCCCAAGCATCACAGGCTCCTCACCGCTCTCCTGGGGCTTTTTATGGGGTGCTTGAGGCTGCAGGTGTGAAAAGTCAAGTGAAAAATATGTCAGCTGTGCTTCCAAGCAAAACCATGGCTCTGGCCGGCAATTCAGTGCCGCGTTCCTGCGTCCACCCTTGGGATGCTGCTGGCCTCACCGCGCTCTTCCTGAAATGAAGCTGGCTCGGTAGCTCCTCACCCACGGCTCGGTAGCTCCTCACCCATGGTTTGGTAGCTCCTCACCCATGGCTCGGTAGCTCCTCACCCACAGCTCGGTAGCTCCTCACCCATCGTTTGGTAACTTCTCACCTGCTTCTGCCCATTTTCACAAGCACCAGTCTCCTCTTGTAACCCCCCCGTGCCACCCAGGGTGCTGGCATGGGGACTGCCATGGTCCTGCCGTGGCCGTGGGGGCTGCTGCGGTGCTGGGGAAGGCTTTCCCATGGGCCAGCTCTGGAGCAGGAGACCGTGATAAAACCCAGCGCTTACCAGGGCAGGGGCAGATGCGTTTTTGTGGCCCTTTGGCCACGTCGGGGCCAGGCAGCAAAGCCTGGTGCTCTGTCAGCAGGAGTGACAGGGATGTGCTGGTTGCCTCCCCGGCCCCTTCAGGCTGGCAGGATTTTGGGCACCTCCAAATTGCTTCGTTGCTTGGAAAGCTTTTGCTTTTTCCCCCATTTCCCATTCCTGGCCATTTCCCAGCTGAGCCTCAGCCCCAGCTGCTGTCCCCGTTGCTGGACGTACCCGCGTCTAGAGACCTTGCACAATGGCAAAACTTCTGCTACCCCTTGGAGGAAAATTTAAGGAGTCTCTGATTTGGTTTTGCGGACCCCAGAGAGCTCACCCACCTTGGAGCCCAGGGCTGTCTCCTTCAGCCCGGCTGGCTGGGTGGTGATGAGGATGATGAGGAGAGGCAGTCCTTTTCCCCCGCGAGCAGAAGGCCCCTGCCATGGCTGATGGAGCTATCGGGCAAGCCTCCAGCATCAGCAGACCTCCACCCAGCCCAGCATTAGAGCGTAATTTGGGCTTGGCATCTCCCGGGCTCTGGTGCAGGGAGATGTGGTAATCGGATAAGCGAGGTTTAATTGCCCGCCCTGCCGTGCTGCGGCGGGCCCTGCCTCTCCTTGCCCTTGCAGGGAGGAAAAAAATCGGGCCACACACTTCCATCACCACGTTGACCCTGTGCCAGCAGGAGAGGGCAGGGGTGGTTTTGGGGGGGCGGGGGTTGCTTCATCCCCCTCGTGCCGGGGAGCAGGACGCCTTGCAAGGGGGAAACAGAGCCAACGCTCCCCGCTTGTGCCCAGCGTCCCGGTGCTGGGGGTGCAAGCCCAGGGTGGGCTGCTCCTTGGGCCATCGGCTCGGCCCTTGCTCCATCAGCTCCCGTTGCTGCTGGCTGCCTTTCCAGGGGTGCAATACCTGGCTGCAGCCTAAGGAGGACCTCCCGGTTTGCCGGGCCTCCGTTCCTCCGATGTTGGCCTTTTGATGGAGGTCACGGGATGCAGTGCCCAGCGGTGTTCCTCTCCCCTGCGGCGTGCCTGGGTCAGGTCAAACCAACAGCACTGAAATCCTCTGGACCCATCCAGCAGCGCTGCTGATACAGAGGGGGAGCCTGGCCCCGCACCCACATGCCCCCACGTTGCCTTTGCCGGTGGGAAGCGGTGGGCTGGCGGCCGCCGAGGGGATCGCTCACCCGGCGGGGGGGAAACTTAAGCACCTGCATAAATCT